ATTTTCTTTAGAAAGTGGCCGTCCACAGGATGCCTGGACACTCATCTGGCTAACAGCCTGGATGGAAAATTTATAATGTTAACTTACAAGTTCCTTGGAAGAAGAGGTTTTAACAAGGGAATGAAAGAAAGAATAATATGAAAAAGAAATTGTTGAGTGGAGCTTCTCAGAGTTTTTATGGTATATTTAATAATTTATTGGCTGGCTGAAAATTAAATCATAAAATAAACCTACTGACAGAAATATGATTGTTAAAACTTCATCACAAACACAGTACTTGATTTGTATTTATTTCAGCAATCAGTTAAACCCTTTGTATTAAACTCTTAAATTGTATTTTTCTTTGTACAGCTCTGGCCCTTCAAGTCCAAATCTGGAGCTTTGTTTGTGATTCAGTTCCTTTTTACAATGTTGTTTCTGATCTTACTGGAAGTCATGTGAGTACAACAGATATCTCTTCATCTAAATAGAGTTTAATAAGTATCTTTATTAGTTTAAAAACCAGTAGCCCATCTCTATCAATGAAACAAAATGAAATGGAATGGAAAGGGATGGAATGGAAGGGAATGTGGTACAGAATGGGATGTGATGTGATGGGAAGCCTGCAGGGTGGTCCTGCTCTTTTTCTTGCTTTTACAAGAACACTGATGTGCATAAGATGGACATGCATAACTCCCTTAACTTAACTCCCTTAACACAGACACCCTACTCTTACTCTCAGGATGTTTTTCAAGTGTTTTTTTTTTAATTATAGAAAAAAGTGTAGAAAGGTACAGTTGTCATAATTTAACATGATTAAATTTCTATGCAAGGTTTTCATCGTCACCAACTTACCAAAAATTTTTTAATATTAACTCAATAATTTTTTTGAATTTTAAGTAATATTTTTTATAGAAAAGAAAGCCCAGAATGTCTCAAGGCATTGTACTGGACGTATTTGGGCATGTTCTGGATTCAGTGTATTACAACAATTGTTTGGGTGATTTCAATTGCTAAAATCACACACGAAGAGGGTCCTACACTCATGACAAAGGTAAATGAGTTTTGACACACAAGACACTGTACTCTCGCAGTGCCTCTCTCCATGCAGGTGTATATGTTGTAGTTTAAAATGTATTTTAGGCCAGTAAAAAAAATTACTTATGATCTAGATTAATATTTATTATTTTGTTTCAACCTAAGTGAAATTTTTCAGACCAGTTAATTTTTTTGTCTCTTTTTGGATGTTTAAAAAGAATAACTTGTATGCATACCACCCACCTCCCTCATTTCCGAACCTTACCCTAGATCCTGCCAGGATTCCATATCAACCCCTCTAAGCTCTAAACTCCCAAGTGCATTTATTTAATGAATGCACACCAACCATGAACCTGTTCTGAATAATAAATATATGCTATTTGCCTGCTGGTCATAGTTTTTCACTATGCGGACTGACCCTAAGCCGGTAAATAACTTAATATTGATTTTTTTCTCTCTCTCAAATGATTATTGACCTGTTCCACACACATATTGTGTGTGTGTTACCATGACCAGGAAATTCCAGACCATGCTAAGAAACAATCAGATTGCAGGATTTGTTACTGTGCTGTCTCAAAGGAAGCCTGTAAACATTTAATAAAGGGCTTCTACAGAATGCGATGCTTTTAATACCAACTGCAGAGCTCTATTCCAGACAATAAAAACCTGTCTGTCTGCAGTTTTAACCTGCTTGTTTCTGTTGTGTCTATTAGATTCTTCTAGTTGTTGGAGTCCTAATCATTCTACCTGGAGATATCCCATCCTTTGTTTGGTCATTTTGCATTTGTTGCATATGTGAGTATAAGAAACAGGCTTTGATAGTTTTTTAATTGAACTGTAGTGCAGGTCCCTCAATCAGCCAATTGGAAGGTAACATTGAAATATTGGAGGGCACGGAATGATGTAGGTGTCTTTAAGGTGGCAGAAGAGGAGAGCAGCAATCTCCTCTGCAGCAAGGAAGTCACCATGGCAACCCAGACACAGCCCACCTCCAGGCACCTGTCAACACAGCACTGTGAAGAAACAGGGTGTGGAAGATATACTTTCGTAAGTGGGAAGGAGGGAGACAAAACCAAAGGAGCAAGCAAGCAAAACACTGCGAGCAGAGCACAATCATCACATTGCCCCTGGAACTCCTCCCACTACCCCCCACATATCAGAGACTGCTGGGCTGTATTAGCTTGATTTTACCTTTACCTAAATTTCATTTAGTCCTGTCAAATTGTCACCATGGCAGATAGTACCCTGGGCATGTCATGTGGAAGCTTATAGTTTTGGTGTCTTAGTGAATCATCCTAAGAGCTATCCTGTCTAGGACTGTGGTCTCTGGTAGATTCAACCATATGCATGTGATGATGGACAAGGGAAGGAGGCCTAATAAGGACAATTCCTGGCCACCCGGGTTTGCTTTTGGCCATAGGACAACCCCACCTTGACCCCATCTTGTAAAATCCCAAACAATTGCAGAAACCCCCAAGCGGTCCTTGTGCCATACTATACAAAGAGGCACAAATAATATAAAACCGGGTATCCAAACCTCCTTCGTGGTTGTGATTTTCTTTGTTTTAACTTGCAAGTGGGGTGGGTGTGGCAGCAGCAGCATTTACAGTGGTGATGCAACCCTCTGGAGTAACACAAGGGTTAGTGGCAGCAAAGGCAAGATTGGCCAAACAGGGCCTCACAATACCACGCCTGGAGCTAGTCGCCAGTCTCATGGCCGCAAACTTAGCCACTAACATAAACGAAATATTGGAAGGTCATCCAGTCGATCAAGTTTACTGTTGGTTAGACAGTACCGTCACTCTATTACATTATTAGTTTGAGAAGTAACTGTAATGAACTCTTCTTTCCAGTACTTAAGTTATGGTTCTTTTTACCCTCATGCATGTATTGTCTACTTTTAGGTATCCCATGGTCCTTTTTGACCTGTTATGATATTGCATTGTTCCTCTCCATTCCTTCTGTCATCATTTTCTTTCTTGTTTTGAGGAGAGAGTTTCTCAGACTAGATCAGGTGAGAGCCGTTCTAAAATGCTTAATACATAGTGATGTGCTTAATTTATAAATAAGACTGAAGACAGAGAACAGATCCCAGACCATTTAAAAGTTAATAATAGTTTGATTATTGTAATGTTCAGTGGTATTTTGTATGAGTACAGACATGCACATTGCACAATGACTGGATAGCCATGTTGGAATAAAACTTGGATTTTTTTTTCTAAAGCTTCCTTTAACTGAACCATCATGCTCTTACAACAAGAATATTACAATTATCAGGGACCATTTTTTGGTATATAAAAAACCTGTCTAACTGGCTCTTACTTGGTGTAGAAGACAGTCAATGTAAAATAATAGACAACAAGAGAATGCTATGAAGGAGCTGTCTGACTTTCTGATTGGATTGAACAAAGATGACCTTTTCCAATAAAAATGGGGTTTTGTGTACACCGTTCGTCAGTTGTTGATTAACTGGCCAGTCAAGTTGTTATTTTGGCAGTAGGTATCCGATTAGTGGTCATTGCTGTTGTAGAGCGGTGGCTGTTGTAGAGAGGTCAAAGTAAGAGTGAATGTATGGACCAGCTGTTGGGACAAAACATAGGCACGCTATGCGTGCAAGAGTTATTTTTTTTTGTGAACTAAACGTCTGAGATAGGAGCATTCATAGAATTGTTTACAGTAACGATGTGGTTAATTNGTTTTAGCATAAATCTACTACTCGGTAAAAACTTTAATCTAAATCCTCCTCACAGACACTTCAAAAACCCAAAGAAGTGGCCGTCATTTTGTTAACAAGCGCACACTGCTAAGCTACTCACTATCTGCAACAGAAAATAGATAATGAGTAGCGTAGCCAATCAGAGAACAGCATTCGCGATTGAACGCTGGCATATTTATTCTAAATATCCTGCGCGTGAGCGATATGCAAACCACTGGTAAAAACGAGGAAGGACTGAGAGAAAGGAATAACCCGTACTTCATGAGAAAGAGCTGCGATGCCCATGGTGGTTTCGAATTTCAAATGAGCCCCACTGCATCTCACGTCCAAGGAAAATGAGGAATACTGGAAACAGTAGACCTAGTCTCCTTGCGTCAGACACCCTGGGAAATATACGAGCCTGTTAAATTTGGAAGTACACTCAAAGAGGCGTTCAAAATCTTGCACAGCGCTACGCGATCAGAGTTTACCAAGCTGTAAAAAGTGTCTCACCGTGAAAAAACTACGAATAGGACAGATGTTTACCGTGTTACTTAAGCACACTTTCAGGTTTCTGTTCATATGCTTACTCTGCTAAACTAACCGGCCGGACCAACACTCAGGGTCTTTAAATAATTGAGGAGAAAGTGCTGCCTTTGTAATGACATCTGCAAATGGTTAGACTTTCTCGTCTTCTCGGACCAGGACAATAAACCGTAGGCCCCGTCTCACAACCCTTCATAATTAATTGTGTGGGACGTAAAAGAAGCCACACACTGATCGAAAAGAGTAGGGGACGTAGTTCCCGGTGTGGTGGTCTATCTCTGATCTGATGGTTAAATGCTCGGAAATATTAGCTGCATAAGCTACTCTGAAATCCGAGGGTAAATAAAGTAATGTATGCATGTATGTATGTAGTTTGATAGGCAGTCGAACTTCTCCACAACGGCCACCTTGGCCTTAGGGACAGAGGAAAGTGGCCGTTGTAGAGAGGTGGCCATTATGGGGAGATAGGGGTGTAATATGACACCTGTTTTAAAAGGGGAAAACATTTTTTATTGTGTAGAAAAATGTTTATTGTAACATATAAATAGGTAACACTATCAAAATATATCAATAAAACAGAAACCAAACAGAAACAGAGACCAATTACGTGCGGTACGGATAAGGTTAACTATAAAAGAACGGGGTTGTATACGCCGTCCGTTGCCGTTTTGGAGAGGTGGCTGTTGTAAAGAGATTAAAATAAAATTGAATGTATGGACCGTCCTCTGGAACAACATAAAAAATTGGCCGTTGTAGAGAGGTGGCGGTTAAAAAGAGATTCGACTGTATTTCCATTTACAGATTTGTTATCCTGTCTATATGTCCTGTCCGTGAATCTTGGATGAGTTAATAGGTATATATAAAAAAAAAAATACAAAATATTTCTCACTCGTATGGCAAAATCCTCGCGTTGATTTTATGGGCTCCCGGCTACCGTCATGAAATCTTAAAAAATCAGCGCTAAAATAAGTGACAATGACATAAAAACATGAAGAGGACTCGAGGTCGAGGCCGAGGCCCTGGGATTACCGGTAGGAGGCAAGGAGCACATCGCGTCAAAATCACAGCCATCCACAGTCTTCTTAAAACAGGTCAGAAACTCGTCAAGACCGCAGTTTGTGTTTCCATGACAACACGACAGAGCAACGGGTTTCTCATTCACCAACACCTGTAGCTTGTGCTCTAATTTTCCCGCCTTTTCTGTTGAGTTGCACGCGGAAAGAACAAAAGCGATGTTGGCGGACATTGGCACCATGTTAGAAATCATGAATTGTCGCTTACTCTGCTGGATGTAATTGTCAGCCCGTAATGGAACAGGATCTCTGAAGAGCCCTAGTATTGTCAACAGAGAAACTAACGTGCCGGAAGAAGTGAAACGAAATACGCCACGAAATGCACTCTTTCCCATGGAGAAATCACGCAAATGTTGGGTGATATCTGAGAGAAGAGTGCATTCTATCTTGTGGTTGAGACTGTTACCATAGGAATGCTCGTAATAGTTTTCCAAGTCGTCTTGATATTCCAATACCTTAATGTCGCCTTCGTTTAGCAGAGAACACCAGCTGCTGTCCCTGCGATTCATTACACCAAATGCACAAAGCCTAAAAATCTTTTCCACAAGGTCAAATGTCAGTGACAGCTTTCCGGTTATCTGAAGTCGTTTCTCTAGTTGCTTTGTTAGGTTCTTTATCTCCGGGCCTTGGACGAACCTCTCTACCTCTGCAACACCATGTTCTTCAACATCAATCTCATATCGGGGACACCATTTGTAAGAAGACAACAATCTATCATTTTCACGGCCGGAAAATGTAATAGCAACAGGTTGAAATTTTGATGGGGTCACGGGTCCTCGAGCTTCAAAGAGTCCGTACGCGAACGACATGGCACTTTGTGCGGTGCGAAGCTTGTCCGCTGACTCAAATTTGTAGTATTTGTTCCAGTACTCCTTCACAAACACTTCAGGAAAACGAGATCGAAATCTCTTGGCTATGTTATATTGTTCGTTCTCTCCAACAGATGATAATTCGCTTGGCTCAGCGTCATTCCACTCGCGTGGTTTGTTCCACGGTAGTGTCAGGTTCTTGAAACGAAATGGCGAGCTTACGGTGTAGATTTCGTTCAGTTTGTTCAGAAGATCGTCCATTTCTTCTCTGTCGCCATCGCTTGGATACCGTGATCCGTGGCGTATTACCATGTTGAGATGAACTGGTTGACAATGTTCGGGGTATTTTAGCGAGGAAACTGAAGTGTTGTCGAAGTGGTAAGCTGTTTTTGTTCCGAAGCGATAGACGTTCGATTGCTTGGATTCTTGTAGATAAAAACCAACGAGTACAGCATTCGCTAACAAAAGGAATCTCCCGGCCATTTTTGTAATACCTCTGTCGCCAATGTTTTCTTGTTGCTCCTGTCTACTTAAATTTGCGTGTACACTTATATCGCACGAAGGGCTAATTGTGTTGAAATGTAGATTTACGTCATTTTCTGAGAGCACTGAAGCTTAGCACAAATGTCACGCTCAGTAGCTCCTGTTACAAATATGTCACTCTGCGGTAACCACCCCACAAGCGCCCAGTCTCCTCTCTGCGTTGGAACAGGAGCCCATCACTAGTGATAGGTTTCTGGTTGGGATCAAAGTAAGGGACGGACCGGTTTTTTTGGATGCAGGGGGCTGGGGGAAGGGGGGAGGGGTAGACGATGTTTAAAAAATTTTCCTGCGTGCATATAACAAGCATGCAGAAACTGCTACAAAAACAAAACCAAAAACAAAAGAAACAACAACAACAAAAACGTGGAAAGGGAACCATGGGAAAAAAAATCGAGCAAGTGCTTTCTACTATCCAGGTCCTGTTTTTGATGTGAACAATTAATCTTGCACAAGCTGCTGCCCACCAAAAAAAAGGGGGAAAAAATTTCATACCTCAGAAAATTGCCCATCCTCTCCCCCACCCCCTCCTTCTCCCCCCCCAAAAAATTTTCCGTCCTTAAAGCGTCGTGCGTCTCGGCGTCTGTTGGAAACCCTCTCAGTTCCCTCTCAGTAAAACCAAAGCCGCATACAGCAATGACCGTGGGCAGATCACAAGTCGCACAAGGTACAGGGGGTAACTCGTCCGAGAAAAGACTACCTATGAGTCTGGCAACGATACTACGCTGGCTGCTATTTTGTCGGCTCAAGATCACGTGACAAAATCGCTAAAGTTTGAGGAAGTCTGAACGTCTTACAGTGCCCTTAATCACAGAACAGCGAGCGTGGAGTCCAGCGAGTTCTTTTTTTTTCAATAACCAGTCGTCGCGAGGACATTGAGGGCAATTTCACTGAGAATTACGAAGAGAAACAGGCTAACCACAAGCAAAACTACCAGGTATACGTAATGTTCTTTTTACAGTTTAAATTATTTTTATTGTGCATGTGAATCAGAATGTAACGTTGTTTAGTTTGCGCATGAAATTCATCGATATGAATTAATTACCCCCATGTTATCAATCCGCTAGTGTGTTAAATAACAGCACATTATTGTGAACACAATCGAATATTAAAAAAAATAGATGAACGCAGCCTTACAAAACTGATTTGAAATTTGGAAAAAAAATTAATATAAGTCAGTTTTACATATGGTTGCAATATTATTGTTTCAGAATTGCTTGTTGCTCGTCTCGTAAAAAAATGTGCACGTGAGCCTCATTAGCTGAGTTCTAGAATTTTTCTCAGTTTACGAACAATAATAATAATAATCTACCACGGAAGCCTTTGACCTCACAACAAATGCCAAGCGTTTTTTAATTTAAACCTCTAGCTTAAAAATTAGAGGCATTGAAAATTGAAAACAGGAAAGGTGTTGAGTAGTTTTGGTCAATGTTTATGGCGTCATTTGAAACTGATCCAACGAAACGACTTCAGCTCAGAAAGAAATCAAATCAAATCATTGCAGTTTTGTTTTGATCAATAATAACGTATCGTGATTTTAGCCAACTTTACCACGCAGTTGTCCTAAATATGTTCTGAGGAAGCTAATCAAGGATGGGTACGCCTTTGTGTTAAATGTTTTTGTTTTGAGTTTCCCTCTATTACACTGAAATAAGTTGTTTTTCGTGTTTGCCTCGGAGGCACACGAACAGATGAACTTTTCTGAAGGACGTGACTCCATGCCCTGTTCGCCCCTCGGGCTAACACGAATTGAAGTGTCTTGAATTGAAAAAGGTCAAATGTAAAATTAATGACTTAATAGGATTTAAAAACGATCTTCTATACAATGTTTAATGACAAGCAGAAAAAGAAAAATGATTTATTTTTTTTAATTTTAAGGAATCCCTTCGGGTGGAGTGGCCGAGACGTGATCAGAATTCGCGATTTATTTTTATGTTTTTTAATGCTGCCTGCTATGAAGGCTGTTTGCAAGTAAAATAGATTGTAAGCAGAATCTGTACAACTTTGTGTTAGTACTTCCTCGCGCGGTACTTCAAGGCCAGCTTAAATAGCTCCTGCTAACGCTTTGAAAGAACATGTAAGGAGAGAGGGAAAATATTTCCCCCGCCTCAGTTTCCCCCGACTTCGACTTCCCCGACTTCCCCCGACTCCAACAACTTCTCTCATGTTCAGGTACACTCCTCGGCTCACTTTTTGGTCGCCCCAGTTTTCCTCGATTAGGTGATCTTACCGTGTGGCATTAAATTTTGCCGGAGTTTATTTTTGCGATTCGAATTTTTTTGTTTTGTATTTTGTCGTTTTTTGTTTTTTGATTAAGCTGGGTTAATGCAATCCCAACCAGGAAAATAATGTCAATTTCTGTATCCTCGACATGTAGCCAAATGTACTTATTCAATGCATCAATAACAAATTCCTTGAGAACCTATTTTTGAGAAAACTCAGTATAGTGCATGTTTTCCGTTAATTTTACAAAAAGTAAAGAAGTAGGAATAAAGTGCGCGTAATTGAAAGCTCATCTTTTGAATAATTTTTTCCAGGGAACGTTTTATTCAGTTTTGTTATGATCAATCCTGTTAACGGCTTCTCGATACTTTTAATCCTATACACATTTCGCGATAATAAAGGTTTTCGTAATTTGCACTGGACGGCTGTCAATTTTTATTCAGTTTTTATTTTTTGCGTTCGACGAAGTGGAACGCAAACTTAATTTTGGCCTGTGCCTTTCCAGAGTTGGTTTACCTGTGCACAGTTATAGGCCGAAAAAACCACATTCCTGTAAGGACACCAAAATGGCCACCCCGCTTGATTTTTGCAGGGCATGTCACGGCCAGTAAACTGCTACCGTTTAATGCTAAGACATGTGATAAGACATGTGGCGAACATGTGAGTATGTGAGCAGGCCATGTGAGCTCGTCTTTCCGATGGATCTTTCTTTGACTTCTTTCCATTCAGTCGCCGCACGCTTCGCTATTATGTGCTCTCAGCGTTAGATTTTGGTAAATTTTTAACGTTTCGACGATGGCATTCATCGAAATTTGAGGGAATTGTCCTTGTTTATTTACGTGACTTGGTTTTGGGATGATAACCGTGGGAACAGCTACATTTTGACTGCATTTGTTGATTAGTTCCAGTCACGACAGATAGCTCAGTCTTTATCCGGTCAAAATTTTATTGTTTGGAATCGGTGGAGAAGTACTCTGAAGGCAAGATCCATAAGACTACTTTATTCATCAGGGGAAATACTCGAATTAGTCGCACGGAGTTTGTTTACGATAAACGAGCACGCGAAACGAGCACGCGATTGCAAATGCTAGCTTAGAATAATTTACGTAATTTAAATATTTTTTGAAACTTGAGAGTCTACAGAAACTGGCGGCGTCACGCAACGTATCGACAAATCGTGACCTCTTCACTAGCATACACTTTTACACTATGCATAGATGTATCTGACTGTAAAACCTCGGTTGCTGCTGAAAAAACTTGCTTTTAGCAATAGACAAAGGTTGAAAGTCAGCTAGTGAAATCATTTATTTACGGTATATAAATATTAAAGTGAGAGCGAACGCACTCTCATAATCTCTGATTACTACTAGTTTTATTATTATTATTTTTTAACTGCTTATCTTACGATCTACTCCTCACGATCCACAAATATACAAATATGCATCTTTGATAAATTATCTATCTTGGAAACCAGACTGCGCAGGCTTATAAGCAATTACAAGGAGATAACTTTCTTATCCAGAGAAAATAATTCAACGAGCCGATTGGAATCTAGTTTAGTTCATTAAAAAAATACATCGCCAGAATGTCCAATCGTGAACTGACGAATTTTTACTCAGTTATCGTTGCTGTAATTTCATTGTACACCGATAATAACAACGCTTCATATCTCATCAATTTGCAGTGGGCTGGCGGGAAAGCCGTTAATTTAACCTTATGACGTGAGCAGGCGTGTTAATTTAATACTATTTTTAGCAACAAACGAATTTAACGATTAAGTTTCCCGAGATTAAGCGACTCCTTTGAGTTAAAAAACTGATTCTAGACATAGTCTTTTGTTTTAGGTAATCTCAGCTGACAGTGCGAACACGTTTAAGAAACGCTTTCTAAATTTAGGAGCATTTCAGTAGACTGAGTCACTGGCCTACACTAGATTTAACTAGCTACTAAAGTTGCAAAAATCGAGTGGTTCCAGAGATGAAGTATAGCATTTTATGAATAGGATTCATGGAATACTACAGACGAAAATCAATTAATTCAAGACCCTGAAACGCGCATAAACATCTTCTGGATAAACCTGGTTTTAACTAAGTTAATATACGCATAAATTACCGTCTGTAAAACAGGATCTGATATAAACCAAAAGTGTTTCTCAATTTACCCACGTAATGTAAAGACAGGCCTACGCAGTATATACACATGTTTAACAGTTGGACTATGTCTGGTTGCCAGTTCATGTCCTTTTTGACGTTAAACGACGTTACAGTATGTTAATATTAGTCAAGCTGGTGGAATATAATAGTGAAATTTAAGAACTAAAATGCATCAGTTCTTGGAGTCAGTAAACAATAGGCAATACTTTTAGCACGTAAAACAAATAGAACATGTAGTTAAATGTAAATAAAACAGGCTCGGTATATAATAGCTACTATTTTTGTTTGCCAGGTGATCAATCGGTAGTGTTGAGAATCTAGTTCAGCCACTGAAGTTTGAGCTTTTTTTAGTTTCCCAATAAAGTCAAAAAAGAACGTCTTCTATATTTCACTTTTTAATCCTCATTTCCCTTGAAAACGGCATTAGTTCAATGTTTTTTAAATACTGTTATTTTCATTAAATCCAATTCACATTTTGGACGCTTTGTTTTTTACGTCCACTTTGTTAAAAAAAAATTCAAATTAAGTGAAAGTCGCCGGCTTTATCTGCGTTAAAGCTTTGGTCTGTTTGGCTTGCAAGTGTGAATTTTACGCATTCTAAAAGCGAACGTTTCTCAGTTCTTAGTCAAAAGTGGCAGTCAACGAGGTCAAATTGCATCTGCGACATGCAACACTGCTGTCCGGTTTTTGACACTTACAGGTCCCTGAAACTGATTTGATTGTAGTCTCAGTTTCTTAATTTCTTGGAAGGTTATTGCAAATTCAGATAAATCTTTCCACCTTTCACGAGTTGAGAGCATTCATGGCAGAATTTTTAAGTTGCTGCATGCTATTGGTGGAGACCATGTCACATCTACAGAATCATTGTTCTGGCTTTGAAATGAAAAATTTTAATAGGCACATTAACCACGTTTCGGATAATGCGTCCTGACAAGGTCGCTATGGAAATTTCCAGCGATTCTTGCATTCAATTAGGAGGAAAAATGAGAACTTACGAACCAAAGAGGCCGACATATCGATTCTTTTTGTTTCAGCTAGTCTTGCCGTAATTCTTTGACAGCAGGCAGCTGCAACTGGCAGAATACATTTGAAAATTTGTTCTATTCAGAGTTTCGTGCATGCACCATCGTATTTTCTCGCTTAGTCGTTGATTTTAAACAGTTGTGTTTGTGGATAAACCAAGAGTTATTCATTTTGGATCAAGTTTCCCGGTTTTCAGACCTTCAAAGAGTCCAGGGACGCTTCAATGGTAAGCCTGCAAATGCATGCATGTGTGAAAACACCGTGAATAATATACATAAGTCGATATTCCTTCTGTGTTGCCCTATTAGCGCGTCACATGTACAGTTTCTTGAAGATCTTTTCAAATATCACAGAAAACTGGTCTCAAAAACTGAGTTTAGGAACATTTTCCTTGTTAGAAAAATTCGCACCTCATTTTCAAAAAATACAATCGATCAGAAATGGGAAACTCATAATCACCCTGAGAAAAAAATGTATTAGTTAGAAATCCTACCGCGTAGGTTGAAACTGTGTGTAAGTCCAAAAAGCTGGATTTTTAGAATCTACATCACAAGTACATATTCCCTTTCTAAGCAAACAAACACCGTGGCAGAAGGAGTAGGGTGGCGAAAAGATGAAAACATTGATATGAAGTTTTGTGGCTGGCTGCACGAGGGCTTCGATCATCAATCGAATTCGTGGATTAATTTTGTCTTAAAAGATCAAATTTTGACAATGAAGCAATGCGTAAATCGGCCTCGCAAGGTAAATTTTGATTGAATAAGATTACTGATCGAACATCTTGAACGTGCCTGCAACTAATTTCTTCCTCTTAATAAATGTCTTCGTTATTTGGAGTTTTTCCAATCAAAATTGCCCTATTTTATTGATTACGTTCGTATCTAGTCAAAAATAAACCATTCGTTTGCTGTTAAATTACCGCTTAGTGACAGGGTTGTCAACCATTTTCCTTTGTTTTCCATTCGATCATGGGGTAGGCAATTGAGGAAGTGATTTAAAAAATTGACTTCAGCTTTTTTTAGCTAAAGGACAAGAGTCAGGGCTGTAACCAGCAAAAATATTTAAATTGAGGCTATGTCCAAAACGAATTATGACTGGGGCAAAGTCCATGGTTAAATTCTCTTCCTAGGTATTTAGGGTCTCTNAGGAAAAAAAGGCACCCATGCGGAATTTTGATTATCGAACTATATAACTATGCCCTAGTCTTCTGAGAGTCAGAATCGAAGTGTATTAAAAGCATACAACTTAGGAGTCAGTTCTAACATAGAGTAGAGGTAATAACTAAATTTATGTTTCTTATTTTTAGCGGACGCACATTTAACAACTGCAAGCTTGGTATCAACCCCAGTGGCCTCGAGCGTTCCAAGAAAACCCTCACTGCAAAGCGAGGCAACCGTCAAATCTCAATCTAAAAACGAGGCATATCCTCTCTCCGCGAGTGAACCTCGATCTGAAACAGAGCCTGTAACCAAGGCACAAGCTGAACCTCGTTCTGAAGGAGAGGTTAGCCCAGAAGGCGAGTCGACGTCAGAGCCAACTTATGACCCAGGAGGAGAATCAGAGCCTTACGCGGAGCCAGAAACTTGGCCTGAGCCGGGCCCTCAATGGAAAAGGGCCTTTGGACAATGGAAGGCCGCCTGGCACATTCACGTGTATCTATTCGCTACTGCATTTCTCTGCATTGGCTTTTATGCTGGTTATTATGTCGTGTTAAACATTTACGACGGTTTGGGCGGCAAGTATTTAAGCGTCTGTTTAAACGGCATGGTCCTTCTGTTTGGACTAACAAGGGCCTTCGTGTTGTTTTTGGATCCTTATCACCAAGGGGGCTTTATAAATGCTCTTTTTGTGATGCGCCTGTTATGGTCCATAGGTGGCCCATGCTTGACCGCATCGGACTCGCTTATTATTTTGGCCCTCGTAGAGACCGCACAAGTTTCCATTGCGCCGCCGAAGTTCCAGAAGCTTGGAACGATTTCAATTGTAATTGGCGTTCATTTTGTTCTTGTTATTGTAGCAGATACGGTCGTATCTTTGTATATGGAAGCTAAAGTCATGATTTTACTCTGCCAAATATTTTTCTCCTTATGGGGAACTGTGCTGGGTGCCGGATACGCGAACCTCGCTTACAAACTCGACAAGAAACTCTTCAGTCATAAACAGATCAAAGACAAGGGCGACAAAATATATATATTTCTCATTTATGCTTCTGCTGCGGCGAATTTCTTTATCTGCGGTGTTATGGTGTACACCATGGTGGGGGTGTTTGGCGTTTATGCAGACATTGAGTTCGTGGATGCCTGGCATTGGTGGACTTTACAAACTCTATTTCGCTCAGGCGAGGTTATCACGTGCGTATTAATCTTCACTGTCAGTGCCAAGAGGTCACGTATTAAGCGAGCTTTAGATGAAGTCTCCGAATTCGATTCACAGTCACGAACATTTGACCCAACAAGCGGTTGTTCGGCGTTCAGAAAGCTTCAAATACTCTTTGACAGACTAAGGAACGGAAACAGAGTCTCTGAAACTGCCGTTTGTGTCGAAGAAACGGAGAACACTACAGGAAGGAACAGAAGTAGCTTTAAAAAGAAAACTGCGAACACAGCCAGCGAGGAAGATGATACGCTCCCCCCCGTCTTTGAGGCATTTCAAGAGAGGGGCAGGGGGAGAAGACAAAGCTTGTTTTCTCACATGCAGGCAGTGACCGTCGAAAATCAAATTTCACAGCTCCAACTAGCTCCTGCTGTTGCATCCAAAGGAAGAAGACGAAGACAAAGTTTATTCTCTGCTATGCACGAGGCCAGCATCAACAACGCAATCTCTAATTTTGCTCAAGTGTTGACTCAAGCGAGCGACGAACCTATGAAATGCGAGTCCGTCGAATCAGATGAAGAACCTAGCGAGGAGCCTAAGGCCCTTCCTCGCAGGGGCCGGCGTACGAACGTATTCTCAACCCTTCCGGAAATAAAGCCGGAGAAAGTTCTCCAACGTCAAACAATGATGGAGGACATAAGGGAAGAGTCCACATTTTATGAAGCAGAAAGCGAATCGAGCCGCCCTCGACCTCAATGGCCTCTAATGAAGAGGCGGAGCTCAGAGAGATTACGTCAAATACTGTCTCACTGGCTTTCCTTTAAAGATTCTAGAATCGAATCAAAACAGGACATTGTTGAAGAAGTCGAACCTGTTGAAAATGAGGAAAAATCTACCGCGGACTCTCTGCCAGAAGAAACCTGTCAGTGAAGTAAATCAGTTACAATCACAAGCAACTCAAACCGGCAGTCTGGCTGTCAATCATACAACAGATTGACATTTGATGGCCTTGCAAACGCTTCAATTGTCGAGTTTATCTCTCGCATTGCATGTCCTACTGTGTTTTTAGTAGAGCTCCTAGACGAACCCAGCAAACGAAATTCTCTCAGATGGGATTGAGAAACATCATTTGTTTCGTAAAATATAAATTATTCCTATACTGGAGTCCGCTTTACGGGAGGAATCACTGGTGCAATCGACTTCCTTGCCGTAGTAAAACCCCCCAAACTTAACGCAGCGGAGACACAAAAAAACTGTAAATAAAGATATTTTTAATAACATGTTTCTAATCTTCAATAGTAAACAACGCCAGGATTTTGTGTACAAGTTTGTTTACAAGTACAATTTTTTCTCTAAAATTGGTTTCCAACCGCGGGTATTTTTATCTACCATTTAGGTTCGTTAGCTGCCAACGTCGTCGACGCAGTTTTCCGTTTCGTAAACGGTCGATGCCA